AGGCACAGCAAAGCTTAATCACATGCTATACTACCTGCATCCTGAATATACTACTTATAGTTTTGATTTCTTTAGGTTTTGGTACCAGGGATTGAACCCAGGGGCACTTAACAACTGAGCCACATCCCTGGCCCTTTCTTTAAACTTTGAGACACAGTCTCACTAAATTGCTTAGAGCCTCACTCGGTTGCTGAGGCTGGCTTTAAACTTGCAATCCTCCTGCCTCAGCTTCCTCAGCTGCTGGGATTACTGTCTGCTGTGCCTGGCTTGTCTTGATTTATTTACTTAATCTTTTAAAGATTTTCTCATGCTATTAACAAATCCTAATTGATGTTTGCAGATTGTGTAGGTAGCATAAATACCACCTTTTGGGGGCCACATTTATGCTAAAATAATTTCAATGATCTGCTTTATTACCAAAAGAAATATGTTGAAAATGAAAATCTGTTAGCTTAAATATAAAATTAGCACAATGCTGTTTTATTATTAGAGATAGGGTTGTGTGGGAGCAAGTGCCAAATAAGTTTGTAAAGTTATATTTGGAATTTGGGATTAATTTTCCTACAAAGTAATGTGATCTATTATTGTAACTTCACTAGCCCTTTCCTTCCCAAATGCCCATTTTTCCCATAACAAAAAGCATTTTTCCTAGTAAATGTATATTGAGGTTAGTCGTAAGAGTTTATGTATAAGAGAAAGAAAATTTCTCCTAGGGAGTACCACTGTAAACCAGTATAAAATTGATCAGATCAGAGGTATGCAAAGTTACCTTTAAGAGACAATGTAGCTCCTAGAACTATAAAATGTTACCCAAAGAAGGGTGTGGTCAGGAAGCCCTCAGCTTCAGGAGAACTGAGATTTGAGCACTTTGCACATCCATTGATAGCAACCAAGGTGGTCCTGCACATGGCACAGGGAGCTTCAGCTGGTGACTTCTGCAGGGTCTGGTCTCTTTGAAAGGCAGATGCATCTGATTATTTTAGGTGATACAGCTAATTTTGCTTAGCATTCTTATTTGTACATTTGCCCCAAAACTTCTGGTTAGAATTTGGCTTCTTACATACATCTACCTAGGGAAAGACTTCTGTGGTCATGCTGCCTCAGTATTATACCTCTATCACAATTGTATTTATTAATGTAAATTAAAAGATAAGTGTTACAGAGCTGCAAAACCTTTCGCTCACATCCCCAAAGCCCCTATTCAATCCCCAGTTCCAAAAAAGAACAGACAAAAGAAAAAAAAAAGTGTTGTGGTTTTATAAATGACTCCCAAGTTTAACTCAAATATACCCCTGAGAGATGGGTCCATTCTTGGCAAGCTGACTGAATCAGCTCTCAGGAAGAGCCTACAGGGTCATGCTTACTCCCTGAACCTACCTGGTATCCTGGGTCTTCCCTTTGCTTTGTGTCCTTCAACATTATCATAGGCCAAGCTTAGGCTCTTAGTATTATTTAGGCATTTTTAGTGTATATTAGTAATAAAAGAATAGAAAACTGTAGCTGCAATCTTAGTAATTACTACAGAAGGCTGGGAAGGTCAGAAAAGAACAGCTTAATTAGAGAAAGATGTAGATGTTGCTGCTGCTTCTGATAATGATGAATAACATTAATTGGGGACTTAAAAAGTGTCAGGCTTTGTGTTAAACACTTTAAATAAGTTATTTCATTTAATCCTAATAATCCCAAGAGGAAGGTACATTATTATGCACAATTTACCAGTGAGGAAATGGAGGGATCTAAAGGTCAGATAACTCACCCATGGTCAGACATCACTGATAAGTGCAAAGCCAGCACTGCAGCCTGGATGGCATGGATCTTTGCCCAGACTCCTGACCGCGGTGCCCCACCAAGGACTGGGAGGAGGTTCTGGGGGACAAATGATGGAGACTCCCATTTCAATGATAGGAATTGATTTATCTGGTTCATGATTCAGTGTTCTTTTTTTAATCCAAGTCTGTCGTTAACTCCTCATACTGAGCATTCAGGATTTGATTTCAGTCTTGGCTTACTACTCAATCAAATGGGGGAAGAGGAGAACCTTCTAAGAAAAGTGGGTGAGCCTTGGAAGGGGCTGAGGCAGATTGATCGAGAGGAGTCCAAGATGATCCATGTGCATGGAAACATTGGCCAGATGAAAAAAAATAAATAAGCTACCAAAAATAAATGAATAAGCTGTGAATGCAGACTGAAGGAAAGAGAAGGAAGGTTAGACATCCAATTATAATCATTTTGAGGGGGAAAAATGGATCAGATACCAGTAACTAGAAAGCTCTTTGCTTCTGTCTGAAGAGGAGGCTCAAGGGGTAATGGAATCACACTCAGCTGGATGTCAGTCTGTATGTTCCTTGGTTTGTAACTGGAAGTCCTTGCTATTGCCTTTGAGCTCTGGAACTGTTTTATTGCTTTTATAAACTACTAGCTATCTTCTTTTAGAGGGAAATAACAGATGGTCATGCTGGAACTGAGCTTTTTATCTGAATCTTCAAAACCTTTTTGTGCACAATTTATGAAGTTCACTTCTTTGCAAATTCAGTGCTTTCTTGTAGCTTTTCCTTTTGAGATGAGCCACAAGAGCCTCATTTTGTTGGGCATTGCCTATTAGTGACAAAACTCCTTTCTTATTTAATCAGCTTCTCCAGTAACAATTTAAGGCTGAATCCAGATAGGTCCTGTTTATGAGGGGGAAACGATTTTGGTGGACTGACTAAAAATAACATGTGGAATCTGCCACCTGGGTCTCCCTTCTGTATTCATCTTGTATTTGTATGCATTTTGCTCATGAAGTTAGAACTAATATGTCAGCTCTTGTAAGTATGAAAGAAATTTGACTGGGCCATGTGTATGTGGCCGTGACATCAAAAATGCTACAGTGCTGTGGAGAGGCTGAACCCAATCTCACTTTGTGTTTGGAGGACAAGGCTACTGTGGCCCCAAATCCTGGCCTTGCTGAGTTCAGAATGTACAGAGCAGAGGGCTAAACATATTCTTTGTTGATTGAAAAATACAGTTGTTCCCCTTCTTATGTAATGATATACTTTCTGTGGTTTTAATTAATCATGGTCAACCATGGTCTGAAAATATTAAATGGTGCACTGGGGGTATAGCTCAATAGTAAAACACTTGCTTGTATGTGCTTGTCCCTAGATTTGATTGCCAGTACTTAAAAAAAAATAAATTAGTCAAAAATATTACATGAAAAATCCAGGAATAAGCAATTTGTAAGTTTTTAAGTTATACACCATTCTGAGTAGCATGATGAAATCTCTCACTCTTCTGTTCCATCCTGCCTAGGACATGAATCATCCCTTTGGCCAGCATATCCATGCTGCATATGCTACCTGCCTGTTAGTTACCTAGTAGTTGCCTAGGTTATGAACTGCTATATCAGTGTCATCATGCTTAATCCAACTCTTCATCATAATATCTGTATCATTCACCTCACTTCAAATAGGCTTCATATCATCTCATATACTCACAAAAAGAAGAGTGAGACAATATCAAGGTATTTTGAGAATAAAAAGAGCCATATTCACATAGCTTTTATTACCATATTGCTATAATTGTTCTTAGATATTGCTATTAATATTTTACTCTGCCAAAATTATAAATTAAACTCTATCATAGGTATATATGTATAGGAAAAAATAGTATGTCTGGGGTTTGGTACTGTTCATGGTTTCAGGCATACCCTGGGGATGATGAGAGATTAGTGTATGAATAGATCCTATTTTAAAATTCGAGGCAATGGTGGATTTTTCATAATTACTAAAAACCTGCAATAGAGTTGAATACACACTAGGCTTAGAAAACAACCAAACAAACCCCAATCAATTTTGCACACTTAAGCATGCATAGCTCATTTTGTTCTAGAGGTTTGCTTCTCCCAATCATTTGATATTAATACAGTTCTCATTTATTATTTAAATTCCTGAGTCACTCAGAGATACTCTTAACCAGCTTTTGTGTAGTCTTTTAATATTGCCTAGACTTCAATTGCCAGTTATAATTTAGGGACTCAAAAAACACAGACTATGGAGTTAAAGTCTGGGTCCACTACTTATAAGCTCGCATGACTATGGGCTATGTATTTAGTTGCTTTATGGGCTTCAGTTTTTCTCAACTGAAAATTCTGGTCCTATTGTTGGCTCTTGGCTGCTTAATGAAGTCTCTGAAAAGTTCCACAATAAGGAAGACTATTAAAATTATCACATGTAAAATATTCTCAAACTTATTTGATCACCAAAAATATTTTTTCAGTAAAACCTGTTAGCATCCCATTGGCATCTACAAACACATTTTAAGAAATGCTGATCAGGTAGATAGAGCTGCAGTCTTTAATACAGAAATGTGTATTTGGATCCTTGTTCTACTCTTATTGCCTCTGTGACTCTGGCAAAGCACTAAATTTGACTGTCGCCTACTATCAGTTAAAACACAGGTCAGGTATAATCAGTTCCAGTTCGAAACTTTCCCTCTATGTGCTCAGAATCAGTGCCACTCTGAGTAAGCCTGCAGCAAAAATGAGCAGTTATCTTGGTATTATCATCTTTTGAAATGAAATTCTTTACTTGCCTCATCCTAGTCCTGAACATGCTCATAATTTCCCGAACATGCATCTCATACTATAATAATTTATTGATATATCTCCACAAATTGACCAGAACCACACCTTATTAATCTCTCCACCTGGCATCTAGCTTAGTACGGGCACAAACTCGGTGGCAGCACATGTGTCTCCAGGGAGATGCTCTTCTCCTAGGTATCTCCCTCCACATCATGTTTCTGCTTAACTATCATCAGACAGGCCTGTGCTGGAAAGAGGCCCTTTTCCCCTTGCCACCTCCTCAGTATTTATCCCTTACATTGTGTAGTTTTTCTTCATAGCCCTCATCAAAATCTAACATTTTTTTTTTTTTTGTATATTTCCCTTCACTTAAACCTTAGTTGAGCAGGGTCTTGGTCTAACTTTTTCATTTCTGCCTCCCAGGGGCCTAGGATGGTGGTGCCTGGTACATAGTAAATAATAAATATTGATCAAATAAATGAATTATTAGTTGAATGAAGAATGAATGAACGAGTCCCTTCTTTTTCCTCCACTGCCTCATCTGACAAATAGGAATAATGCAAACTACCTTATTTGCTTTTGGACTTAAATAAGAATCTGCAAGTGGAGGCACTTAATACACTGCTTTGGCCAATAAATTCAGTAAATGGATGCTAAATAAATGTGAATCTAGCTGAATATGAGTGAAAGACTAACTCCTATGGAGGTTACTTTTTGGAATAATGGTAACTGTCAGAATTTTCTAATGCCATGAAGACAGAATGCTTGATACCATAGTGTCACTTACTGAGTGGTATTTTGTCAGCAGAATATTAATAAACCCACATTTACACTCCTTCTTTTATAGAGTGTATATTTAATCAAAGACAAAGTTATTTTTTTTTTAGTTTTAGATTTTAGTGATTGTAGGACAGTATCAAGGGGAAACTGTTAGTATTACGGTCCTTGAATTTTGGCTCTGCCCTTCACTAGTGTGAATGCTTTAGGATACTGCTTACTCCCTTAGTCATCCTTAACTTCTTCCTTTGTAGAAGAAAATTGTAAATAGCTATATCTCAGATTTAATATAAGAATTTTATGTTCTTGTTTTATAAACCGTAATAAATACGAGTTGCTACTGTTCTTTTTACTACTACTTCTACCACAGCCACCACCACTGCCACCAACCACCACTACCAAGTAACAACGTCTTGGAGTTTCGAAGCCAAACTCTAAGGAAAAAATGCTACCCACTATTAATTTTTCTCATTAACTTTTAGCAGATCTTGAAATCCAAAGGGAAGCTGGAACCAGGACAAATTGAATTAACTGATCATATCCACTGGCAGAACCCAGAAGCTGCTATTTCCACCAATAAGCTGTCCTTTGGTTCCTGTCCCTTTGATCTCCACAGCCCCTTAGGACTCTCCTGCTGTCCAAGGGAGGTTCCAATAGTCTGACAGATCTTTAGGACAGCATCCCTTAAATAACAAGCAGGTGGTTGCCTTGCAAGTGAGAAGTTATTGATGACCCACATGGCTATTCTGTTGATGATTCATTTTCTGTTTCCTGTCTATGTGCTTTTCAGAAGGCAAGCAAGCAGTTTTACATAAATCAATCTTTTCCTATCGAGCTGACACTATGTCAAGGAAGTCTGAAGATGTGACCTCTGTCTCCTTGGTATAGGGATGTCAGTAAGACAATGGGCCCTTGAAGGGTAGTCCAAAGAGCTCCTCTTGAAAAGTGAATCATGATCCTTTAAGGTTAAAGATTACACCGTAAAAGGGTTTATTTGTTTATTCTTTTTTCCTGAGGACTTAAAAAGAAATAGCCTCTTCCCTTGCGTGCTATTTTCTTGTCCACCTCTGCTATCTTCCCTTCACCACTACTTCATTTCTTTTTGGAGAGATCACAGAAAACTGTGTGTGTGTGTGTGTTTCTCAAGAAGCACTAGGAAAAAAGATAGCCCCCTTAAAATAGAATTACTGGGAACATATCTCCTTAAAAGAAGCTGAGATAACAGATTTCATTAAAATTGCTTTAATGGAATTGAAGGGAACTCTATCATTAAGATGTGTTTACAGAAAGTAAGTAGAAAGTGATTTTATTATTGAATGTTTCTAAATATATCCACCCACTCCTCCTCAACCAAGTAATGCAGGTTTGTGGTTCCAGGAGAACTCATATAATATCACTGAAGGGAGGGAGAGAGATCCAAACTGACCGTGACTCAGCAAGGTCACTCCTTAATTAGCCAAAGCAGAGACAAACCTAGAATTTCCTACTTTCATAGTGGAATAATGTTTTGAAATATTACAACTATGCTTCTTTACCCCATATTTTCTGTTAAATTCACCATAATTCTCTTTTAGGCAGTAATGAAATTTGCATTTTTCCTCACCTATTCTATAGTCTGTATGCAGAAAGAATAGGTCAGATTTTGGGTTTCAGAATCAACTCTGAGTTTAAGGCAGATAAAGTTCTGGGAAGTTGAGAGATTCTGCTGGTTATCTTGCTTTCCAGGGAGTCAGACCCAGGAGACAGGATGTCTTTTACTATGGCCAATATGTCTTAGCTAATAGAATGGCTGCAGGAGGTGCCCAGGCAGGTATGGGTAGCTTAGGAATGTCCTGTCCCTTTGCGGTATGGAGTGCAAAGTTGCAGAATGTTGCTGCTCAGAGCTGGAGAAGTTTCCCAGTTGGAACAAGGACAATGATGGTAGGCACCAGATGGGAACATGCATGTCTTAGCAGATGGATTGCCATAGCATGATCTTGGTTTATTAAATCTCCCTTTACAAAAGAAGTCCTTGTCATATGAAATTGTGGCAATTGTAAACATATTTGGGAAATAAACGGAGGATGATTAGGTAAGTTAATATAGTAGAACCTTGAGTGCTTGGCATGAGATTTTGACTTGATATATTTGGCAACTAGGAATAATTGATGTTTTTCTGGAAGAGGAGTGACAAGATGAAAAAAAAAAGGCTTAAATTGAAAGACTGCAAAAGACACTGGGGGAACAAAGACTTTAGATTTTTAAGGATATGCACATGCATGGCTCAATAAATGCCTATTGAATGAGAACAAGAATAATTCTCTTTCTTTAGTATGCTCAGTGAAATCTAAAAGTATTCTGTGAATTTAGGGCAGATATGAAGAAGGTTTTCTTGGTGGGAAATTGCTACCTTATGAAATAGAAGCTGAGGGAAGATTTTGGGAACTCACTGTGGTTTAGACTTTCTTCTAGCCTAAATGTCAAAGGTAATTTTTCTGACTTTTCAATACTAAGATATAGATAGATATACGTATATCTCTATAGATAGGTATAAATGTATAGATCTCTATTTTTATCTATGTACATATATATATTGATATTTAGACACATACAGCTGCTATGCTTTGGATATTGTTTGTGTCCTGCAAAGGCTCATGTGTCAAAAGCTTGATCCTTGTACTGGGGTTGTGGCTCAGCAGTAGAGTGCTTGCCTAGCACGTGTGAAGCCCTGGGTTCAATCCTCAGAACCATGTAAAAGTAAATAAAGAAAACAAAGGTATTGTATCCAACTAAAAAATAAATATTTTTTTAAAAAAAGTTTGATCCTTGGTCTGATGATAGAACCAGAGGGGGTTAGAACCTTTAAGAGGTGAGGCCTAGTGGTATGTAATTAGGTCATTGGAGCTCCACCTTCAGTAGGGACTATTGCTGGTCTCAGAGAGTAAGTTAGCTTCTGCAGGAGAGAAATATTATAAAGGAGCAAGCCTGGCCACTCCCTGGTCTAAGGTTTCTGTCAAGAAAAAAGTCTGGAAATAGGACCTCAGTCTCCTTGGAAGAGGGGAGTCAGGAAGAAAATTAGGCTAAGGCCCTGTTCTTCAAAGAGAGTTATGAATCTTTAAGATTAATTAAAGATTATCCTGCTAAAAGTTGTATCTGTTTATGCTGTTTCCCTTGCCACTCGATCCCTCTTGTTTGCACTTCTGCCATTGTGTTGCTGTCTACCTTGTGACCCTTGACAGAGCCCAGCAGGTGCCAGCGCCATGCCCTTGAACCTCCAAAACTGTGAGCTAAGTGAATCTTCTTTCTATACAAATCACCTAGTCTCAGCTATTTTTTTATAGAAACAGAAAGCAGATTAATACAATGACTTAGTTAACTCTATTATGCCAAGTTGTTAAAAAAAAAAACAAAAAAACCTTACATGAAAAGACACAAAACCACCTTAAATGCATGGCACTATGTGAAAAAAAAAAAAACAGTGTGAAAAGACTATAAACTATATGATTCCAACTCTGTGACATCCTGGAAAAGGTAAACTACAGAGATAGTAACAAAACAAAATTCCCAAAAACCAAAAATCAGGGATTGAGAGGGATTGGGTGGAAGGATTAAATAGGTAGAGTACACAGGCGTTTTAGGGCAGCAAAGCTATTTTGTATCATGCCATAATGGAAAGTAAACGTCATTCAACATTTTTTAACACCCATAGACCTACACAACACAAAGACTGAATTCTCATGTTACCTTAGACTAACAGTAATATGTCTATTGTTTCTTATGTTAGTCACCATTTTGTCATACCACCAATATCAGAGATAAACCAACTTACAGAAATAGAAGGTTTATTTTGGCTTCTGGCTCAAGACTTCTGTCCATGCTCAGTTGGCTCTTTTAATTTAGGTTTGTGGGAAGGCAGTTCATTATGGGATAGAGCCCACGGTAGAGCAAAGCTGCTCAACTCATCACCAAGATTTGAAAGAGAGACACATGAAGGACCTGGGGTTTCAATATTTCTTTCAAGGGCATGTCCTTAAAGGATACAGACCTTCAACCCATTGACCTTCAAGGGTATTTATCTAAATTATAACAGTTCACAATTGAAACAAATGTAAGATGTTTGTTATATGGAAACTGTGTATGAGGGGAGGAAAGGGAATATATATATAAACTATATTTTTTACTATTTTTATAAGCCTACGGTTTCTCTAAAAGCAGTCTATTGATTAAAAAAAACCCTGTAAATCATCAAGATGTGGAGGGATGAAGATTTTTTTAATTTAGGGTATCATCTTTTCTTTACTAGCCTATGAGTGAAAACAGGTGCACTTCCCTTTCCTTACTATTTAGGAAGGATTGAGAGGAATTGAACCATTATTCTTCTCTGTCATATAGAAATAAAAATGAATTATAGCAGTCAGTTTCTTTCTGCCTACTCTAAACTGGAAGATAGAGAAGAAGAAAGACCCTTTCTATGACTTTTCTCCCTGGAAATTGGTGGCTTGGGTTCCTGGCAGTTAAAGCAGCACACATGTGAGCAGGCATATGGAAATCAAAGGGCAGAGTGCAGCTGAGTCCAGTCCCCACTTAATATTTTACAAAAGCAAGGCCCAGTATTCAGAAGGAAATGGAAGAGTCCCCCTCCCGTTATCTTATCTCTTATCTTAGATTGTACCTGCTTCTCCAGCATTTCCCTGAGATTTACTACAGGTTACTCTTATCATTCTTTGGGCAAGTGCTGGTTCTCTTGGTGCCTCCCTAGCCTGCTGTGTGATGCCACATGGTATTTCCAGTTTGTATTTCATTCTTATCCAGCTATTAGAGCAGACCTAGCCTTCTGTTGATTTTTTTTAACTTTGTTGGAAATTGAGCAGATGGATTTGAATTCCTAATTTTCTGCAAAAATGTGCCAAGTACTTGTTCCTTTGTTCCTTATTTTCCTCTTGACCAATTCCTTGTGGGTTTACATTTATCCTCTTTAAAGGTCTCTAACTGATGAGTCTTATCTCACAGTGTTCTAGGAATATCCTTGAAGGTTAAGTTCTCTAGGATTAACTCCGCTGCCTTTTTGTTTTGTTTTTGGTACTGGGGATTGAACTCAGGGATACTTGACCACTGTGCCACATCTCCAGCCCTATTTTGTATTTTATTTCGAGACAGGGTCTCACCGAGTTGCTTTGCACCTCGCCATTGCTGAGGCTGGTTTTGAACTTGTGATCCTCCTGTCTCAGTCTCCCAAGCTTCTGGGATTACATGCACCACCACGCCTAGCCCCCTTTTGTTATGATACATTATCTCCTAGTTTCACACCCCTACTATATGTGGCACTTAAGAAAAGGAGAATTGAAAGACATATTTACCTAGTGTTTTATTGAGCACTAACTATGAACCAGCTACTTTGAAAAAATGTTTAAAGTAAATATTCTTATTTAATCTTCTTGAATGACCCAAGAGGCGGGCTAATCATATCATTACATAATAGGGTAGTGAGACTATCACAAATTGACTTGCCCAAGGTCAAATAACTAAGTGGTACAATAAGGAGGCAAATTCATATTTAACTTACTCTAAAATATTTTATTTTAATTAAGGAGCATTGGCTTTATAATCTGAACAGAGTTAGGTTTGAGTATAGAGTAAGGACATGCAGGACTATTGCTTAAACTGTATTCATCTGTAAAATGGGGATAATTTTAATTTATTTTTAATATCAATCTCAAAATTAAGAGAGATAAAGGAGATAAGGTACTTGTACCAGGCCTGACATATAATATTTTGAGAAATATCAGGGTTTTTTTTTATATTAAAAGCTGCTATTTTTATTGATGATCATATAATTCTTCTTGGGACAGAAAAGTAAACCATACTAAACTCATGTATAGAAATTGACACATGTTACTAGATCTCTGTCCTTTTGTTCTTATATAACAAAATACCTGACACTGGGAAATTTATACAGGACAGAAAATTATTTTCCTCACAGTTCTGGAGGCTGGGAAGTCCACATTCAATGGGTTGGCAGGTTTAGCGGTTTGGTGAGGGCTGCTTTCTGCTTCCAGAATGACACCTTGATGCTGTGTCTTCCAGAGGGAAGAACATTGTGTCCACACATGGCAGAAGGCAGAAGGGCAAAAAGGAATAAGCACCCTTCATTAAGTCTTTTGGTAAGGACACCTAATCCTATTCAGGAGGGAGGAAGCCTCCTAGTCTGTCACCTCTTTACAGGCTCTCCTTAAAATACTGTCACAATGGCAACACCTATATTTTAGAAGGGACACATTTAAACCATAGCATATACCAAGCTCCATAAGCTGTGAAGGAGGCCAGATCTTGCATTGTTGACAATATAGTCCTCTACTGACATCTGAAATCCCATTTCCTAACCCTATGGCCAAAAAGTTATTTGAAGACCTGGTTGTTTTGGTCTCTTTCCTTAGAATCTGTTTTTTTCTGGTCAGCAACTACCTATACAATTTAATGCCAGACTTTCTTTTTTGGTCAGCACACCTGTCTGAAAGCTTCCTACTAGACTGAAGTGATCTATTTTCAATCCTTAGTGAGACTCTCTTTGGATTAAAGGTCAGGCATCCACATCTGCAGCTCTCACTGTCCTCCTTCAGCTGCCTGTGCAAATAGCAATGCTACATTGACTTGTTTTGCTGTCTCGCTCCTGCCTCTCTGGCTCCCAGTCAGATATTAAGGCCTTATGCTGGCTGGATGCTTTCTTGCTTTTGTCTCTGGTTTTAGGATTTGAAATGCAGGATACCCAGACCCAAAATTATTTAAACAAAACAAAAATTAAAAACAATACAATCACAACCTTTATTTGCACATGGCATATGTGGTATTTTAAATTCTACATATGTTGAAAATTTTTCTTGCTGTAATATAGTTTTTGTTTTCTTTGCTTTCTCAACCTTGGAAAGTGTGCCTTGTTTCTAGGAAACAGAATTCAAAATCCAAGTCAGTCTTTAGTAACTTAATGGTCCTGGTGGGGGCAGGGAGAGTGGGCTCCAGTAGTTTCATAAATCCCAGTATTTTATTTTTCCAGGTTAGTATATGTGGAAGAAATATCTCAATGTCTGCCATGTGCCAGAGGAAACTCTTGTGGCACAGGTCATCAATTTGGAAAATAGAAAAGGTCCAGGAGTCTGCAGGTAAGAGGGTAGTTTAGAGCGTTAAGAAAAAATATAAGGATCTAGACTTGTAGGAGTCCACCTTCTAGATCTGATACAACCTGGAAGTTCTGCCTCCCATGAAAGAACTGGCAAGGGAAGACCTTCCTCCCGACAACCTTTGTGACCCAAAGAACGCTGTGCAGCCAGGCAGAGAATGCCTAGAGAGCAGATTCAATGGAGTTAACAGTTACAAGCTTCTGAAACACTCCCCAACACCGTTGGAGATGGATACTACTTACTAATTCTGTTTTAGCAAGAATTTGAAAAAAGAGAAGAATTTAGATTCATATTTATCTAGATACTTTTTCTCTTGAAAGGATTCATACTTCAAAGGAGGAAGTCTATTTTCCCTGAAACTTTTTTTTTTTTTTTTTTTTTTTTGTCAAACATGCTGAAATGCTCAGAACCACTGCGGCAGGCCCAGAAATCCCCGACTGCCTTCAAGTCTCTTTCTAACCCAAGCAGGCCTCCCGGCTCATTTAACCAGGAAGCTGCGACAGATCTTCTCAGCGTCTCTAGGGAAAGGGCCTAAAGAGGACTTTATTCCATCTGGAGGTTCCCCTGCCTGGCCAGAGAGCGCTCTGGGCAGAGGCAGTGAACCATAGTAATAGAAAGACAGGGAGCAAGCTTTGGAGACTGAGGTTGGAATCTTTACTTTAGCCATATTACTACTTATTTTAGAACATGAGAAATGGTGTAATTCCTGCATTTCATAATTGCTAGGAATAAATGATGTCATGCAACAAGAGCTCCTGGCTCTGGTGCTGTAGTGTTGCAACAAGTGAGTCCCTCTTATTTCTTCCTATTCTTCCACCACTGCTCCCCAACATGGAGCTTACTCTCTTGACCTGGGTCAAGAAAGGCTTCCTTTAAGGTGATTATTGATCAGAGTAAGACCACATCCCTTGGCCGATCTCCAGATCACCCAATCTCTAGGGGTTGTCACTCTAAATATAACTTTTGGATGAACAAGGAAATGCATCCAGTCAGCAGCTCCTAGTGGCTTCACAAAAGCAATTATTGGCAGGGAGCCCACAGTTCGAGAGCATGGAGATAAGAATAGTACTCAAGGCTAGTTCAGGGTTCTTTCTGCCTCTTTTTGCTGCCACTGCACATGCGGGCACAACTAAGGATTAACTCTTCCCTTCTTTCTACAGTACAGACACAGACTTTAAGTACAAAAGAGCTGAAATTCAATTCCTTAATGTTTTCCCATACTTAATAAGGTGACACATTAAGCCTGGTCTTATGCATAATACCTTTGTTTACTATCTCCAAATTAGAAATATCGATTGAAGGCATTTCAAGCTGTTTCCTAGGATGACCTTCTATATCCACTTAAATGAATTTTGTATACATCACAACCTAACTAGAGCTTCAGCCTCTTGAAAAAGCACACACTCTATTTCAGTAGACACTTGCTTAGTTATTCTTCTGCTCCCTTTTAGGGATGATTACTGCTTTACCATTGGTCCCAGCCACTTAGCTGTGCTGCAGCTCATCTGCAGACCTAAAGTATCAGATCACATTTGTGCTGCTTCCGTTCCTAATTTATTGGTTTGCCCTTGACAGAGAAGGGGGCGTATCTGTTCCCTCACCCAGATGGTTAGTGGCAGTTTATATAGGTCATTGGCTCTCTGTGTCTGCCTCTAGTCTAGTTCTGGGTATCCTAGAGTAATACTTGCTTTCTGGGAGTCATCAGGTCTGGAGCCAGAGGATTGGGAAAGCAGGAAGCAGAATCACATCTCAAAAGATCACTGTGTGCTTTTATCTTTATTGAGGAAAGCAAATTTGGTTTTTAGGTATTAACTAATTCCTTGTTAAAAAGCTCAAGGAACCTGGGACAGTCTGAGCTAAGAGGGCAGGATACCTAAAGACAATAGCCATGTGCCAGGAGTGAAAACAAGAGAGGTATTCACAAGCAGTGTTCGTATTTAAAAACTTCAGCTGTTTAATGATCACTGTGTTCTGGGACTATGTAAGTGCTTTATATGCATTTTTCTGCATTGATCCTTAAACCTGTGGGTTAGGCATTATTATTAATTTTACAAATGAAGAAATTGACATTTAGAAATGCAACATCACTTGACCAAGGGCATTCAGCAATAAATTTGAGACTCTACTAGTCATGGCGTAGATCATTATTGTTAACAGTTAAAAATAGAAGAAAGGCAGTGTTAAGGCAGTGTTTGACTCAGTTAGCACTCCTCAGGAGTGGAAGCTTCTTCCCCAAAACATACCCCATTCCTGACCTGGTTCACATCTGGATTTACCTCAAGAAGGGCTTCTTTTGACCATGCAGGGTGGTCTGTTGGCACCTTTGCCCTCCTACCACATGCCCCCCATTACCTTGTCTTTGAGCCTTGTTCACACAGTACTGCCATCTTCTCCATGGGCTGTGAGTGATTGAGGGTGGGGTCGGAGCTGGGCCCTATTCATCTGTCTATCCTAATCCAGTACAAGGTTATATATATATAATTGAGTAGCTTCTCAGTAAATGTTTGTTGGATGAAAATCAAAGTATTCAGAGAGCCAGACAGCTAAATCTTTTATGATAAAATAAACTCCAGATTATTTAGTACAGAAGAGGCCAATAGGAATTTAACAGAGTATTAGGAAACAAAAATCTCTGACTTTATGGAACTGTATAGGCCTTAAATGCCTATGCAGAAAGCATTTTTAGTGGACTTTTGTGGAAATACGTGAACGTAAGGTTTATGTGTGTCATTCATCATCTGACACCTTTCCTAAGGGAATACTGGTATGTAGCACCCAGGCATCCAATCAGTGAGCATTGTGTGCTAGGCATGGGAGATAATTAGGGAGTACAGAGGATTGCTGGTCCCCCTCAAGATAAGTGCCAGGATGTGTTATTCAAAACACTGTCTCAAAATGACCCGAATCATTTGTGTCAGTCATAAAGGGACCTGAACAAAAATTGTCTACAGCTTTATACAACTATTCTGGGAGTGGGCTTTTAAATATCAACATAAACCTAGGCAGATTCTTAAAGAGGGACTCACACAGAGGTTTCAATTCAGCCATTTCTCATTTGAGTATCTGCATCCTATCTATCACCATGGTTTTAGAAATACATGTAGCAGGAAATCATTTATGGTGGAGGATTACTTTATTCTCATCATCATTTTTGACTGGGTACCTGCTACCATGTGGCTAAACAGAAGCAGATCCTCTTCCACCTTTTGGAATGGATCTTGACATATATCTCCTTGCAGAGGAATGGGCTCAGAATGCTTCATTCTCACCAAGGATTTCAGGATTTGAAGTGCGTACCCTGTTAACATAAAATGTTCAGGACTAAGATCAGCCACCTGTCTAGAGGTCCGAGAGGAGCTGCTTATTTTTCTCATAAAGGTCTTTAGAGTGAATGGTCTGTGGGTAGACGTGAACCATGTAAGATAAAGAAGCTTTAGTGTTAACTCTGAGGTTGGCAGAGTTGTATTCTCTTTACAACTCCAGATGGATCACAGAAGTCATCCCTGTTTGTGGAGGATGCTGCCCAATGCATGCACTTCCACTTTCTGGCTCAGAGCTGGGCAGGAGACATCTTTCCTTACGGCATCTCCATGAGAGGATCCTGCTGTCTCATGCATTCATGCTGTTGACCCAGCTGGAGTGTGAGTGCCATAAGAGTGGCACCTTGTCACGTAGTGCTTATGTATTTTCCCCACAGCACCTATTACAACATTCTGAATAGAGAGGAGCACTCAATAAATATGTTCGCTGAAAGATCAAGTTATTTGGAAAGATCAAGTTATTTTGAGTGGAGCCACAAGGTCAATATGACCCTGTCTTGTGGTGAAGAACTGACAAGATTTTAGCTGTTGTTTCTCCAGTTGTTGTTTGTTGTTGTTGTTTTTCTCTTCCTTGTCCTGACTTCTGACCATTTTCTTAGGGATCTGAGAGTGGAGGATTTAGTGTAGCAAGATGCAGTGAAGAGAACATGGGCTCCCTGTACTTTACTTCTCAACCTTTGAAGCTCAGTTTTGTTATTTGTAAAATGGGGCTGCGATATCTGTCTTCTGGAGCTGATTGTAAGGATGAAGATATGAAAAGTGTCTGCCATTATTGGAATGCCACAAATCTCATAAATTCTCCTCTTGACAAAAAATTTGGAATAGAAATTTTCAACCATTTGTTCTGACTAAATTGAATTCTATGTTCAGTCATTTCCACAAAATTCTTAGAAAATAGAGTGGGGGTAGCACCAAAAAGCTCTAGCCTCTGTCTCAAGAATGTCTTCTGTGATTTTAGAGTGACAAGAACAGATTCACACAGAGCATGCTGTATGTTTAGGTGTGAAAATATAACAGACTATAATCATCTATTTTCCTACAACACTGTCACTGTTTTAAATATTTTCTTTGTATATGATAAACCTGTTTCCATTTGTTCTTTGAACAAGCATGTTTACCACATGTAAACCTCTGACTTTGACTGTGGGTGGGTTGTTAGGTGACTGGTGAATGTGAAGGTCATGGTGAAATGCAGTGAGTGACTAACACTTAATGGAGAATGATGGGTGGCCTTACCTGTTCAACATGCTTTATCCAAGAACAGTAAATATAACAATGAGAGTGCTGAGCATGATTATTCAGAATAAGAAAAACAAATTTCTCAAGCCTCATTTTCTTGATTACCCGTTTTCAGATTGATGCGACTTTGACATAAGATATTTCTACTTGGTACGCATCTCAAAATATCTGGTACTAAAATAGTCTTTCATTCAAGCTTTTATAAGACTTATTTATTCATCAGAAGGAAGTTTGTTGTAAGACACGCCTTAGCCCATTCTGTGCTGCTGTTAATTTATAATGAAGAGAAATTTATTTTGCTCCTGGTTGTGGACACCAGAAAGTCCACAACCAGAAAGATCAGGAGGTCAGTATCTGGTGGGGGCCTGCATGGCACATTGTTTCAAGGCAGGATATGGAAGAGCATGCTCAAGAGAGAGAGCAAGGTGGGTCCTGAATCATTCCTTGTTTTTTCTCATATGTTGAAACTAGAGTAAAACAAAGAAAAGAAGGCAGGGAGGGGATTGGGCATCATAAAGACACTGGGAAGATCAGTGAAGTAGAAGATGGAGAATGAGAAGGAGGGAGAAAGGGAAAGATAAATGGAATGAATTTAACAAAATTATGTCATATTCATATATAAAAGAACCAAAGGGAGGATCACCTTTATGTATATGTAGAAGAAAGGAAATTTAGTGGAGTAGAGAAGGGAAACTGGGGGAAGGGAGAAGAGGAAGAAAAGGGAAGGGGGTGGGTCTTAAAATAAAATTCTTGCATATATGATTTTGTCAAAATGAACCCCAAATGCATAGTTATTAATGCTCTAATAAAAAAGTAGAACCTATTCTTCTGATAACAATATTGATGCATTCATGAGTATGGAGCCCTTGTGTCCTAATCACATCTTTTAGGTCCTATCTCCCACTTCCCAATACATTGCATTAAGCATTAAGTTTCCAAACATGTGAAGTTAGGGGACATATGTAAATAATGGTAGAAAAATAAGAGCCTCAGTGATATGCAATCCTCAGTTAGAAATATGTTTCCACCACTACCAACAATGTAATATTGTATAATACAAAATAAATATTCAGTCTTTGTCCCTTGTACAGAATTTTTTTTTTCTCGGTACCTGGGATTGAACTAAGGGATGCTTAACCACTGAGCTACATTCTCAT